GTGTGAAAAGAAATGGTCAACATCAAATGGGTGAATTTTAAACAGCAGGAAAAAATTGAAAACGAGTGAATTTGATCCGATATCGAAATAATTCGTAAAATTGTTTGCCCGTTACCTAACGCGTAATGGGAAACACCATTGTGCGGGAGAATGACTGCGGTTTAATTGCTCCAAAAAATAAAAACTGACACTGTACACGTCACGAGCGGACAGATATAGCTAATTCAAACTCGTCGCGTTATGGAAATCGCGACCACAAATTTTAAATATGTAATAGCCGGTTGCCTCAATTAAACCGGTTTTAACTTTAATTCGATTTCCACTCTCGTCGTCGTATATAATATATTATATACGTTTTTCTTCCCCCTTTTAGTTCTTTAACTCTAATTATTTTCTCTATCGTCACGAACGATAAACGATAAGATTCTTTATTGTTTGTGTTAAAATAAATATTTTTGGAAAAAATGTTGTGTATATGATGTAGATGGAAATTTGGGATCCATTGAATTTTATTAGAAATTTAAAGGAAGGAAAAAACTTTTTTGCCAGTTTAATCAGAGATCTATCAAATTGAATGATTTTCACAGAATCCAAGAATTTAAGAAAAAAAAAAAAAACTTTAGCTTAAAATTTTATTATCTCAGAGAAATATTCAGATAAGAACTTTTAATTTTCAATTCAAACATCCATCAAATTTAAAATCGTTATGCGTTTCAACAAAATTCAAGAATTTATGAAAATGACCACTTTTTTTAATCTTTAATCAAAGATTTATGTAAATTGAAAGGAATCTTCATCGATACATGCAACATTAATTTTATATTAATAATAATAATTATTTGAGAATATTGAAAATTTATAGTAGATTCATGTTCGCAATTCTTTTTTTTTTTTTTCTAATTTTTTAACAGCAAGAAAATTGATTTTAATTCAGTTACCAAGATTTCCAGATTGCAATCTAAATCGTTTAAATTCACGCCCAGGGACTTGGTTTCTTGCTATCGGAATGGTGCATGTGAAATGTCGTTATTACAAGTTTGAAATTAGCATAGGTATGTTAAATTTTCAATTCTATTATCAAAAACTACATCAAAGAAATTTATCATAAGCGAATATAAGCGAAACGAGTGTTAAACATGCAACAATCTTGATGATACTCGCATAAATTTTTTATCAGTTTGAATTTGAAAGATGTCGAAGAAGATGATCGAAACGTGAATTTAATATTTGAAAAAGTTTGTGTAAATTAGGACGACTCTATGTCGATTTTCAGAATTCATGATCGATGATTTTCTGATTCGAGAACGAGAAAAATCAAAAAATATCATCGAAACATTTTAATACAGATTATTAAAATTTATGCGAAACAATGAGAGAAACAATGTTTCACGTGAAATTAATTCAGTTTACGATAATTCGACATATGACACAAATATGTAAAATAATGAAAATGGAAAATGGAATTTCGTGTAAATTAAGAAAAAAAAATCTACGATAAAGATATCCTAACTGTTTTATTATTGTAATGAAATAAACAGGATGGATTAGAATTTTATTACAACACCAATTTGTAAAATTGAAAATTCTTTTTAAAAAATATGTAAATGAATGCATCATCAACATGGAAATGTTTTATCAATAGCAACTGGTTTATAAGGGAAGATTTGCTTTAAAAGAGAAAACAAAAAATTTTGTTAGAAACATATAAAATATTTTGCTTAGATCATATAGTTCGCAGAATTTTCATGATTCAATGATTTAAAATATCGTCCCCAAGTGTATGAAAAATTTTTCTTATATCTCTCAATATTTACATTTGTATTCCGTGGAATATGATTCCGATCAAGTGATAGCAAAAAGTAAACGTTCTTCCTTCTATCAACTGAAAATTTATCTCGAATTTCCTATCTTCAAATGCGGTTCAATTTATTCCGTTTATTACGATTATATTTTTTCATAATAAATATTTTAGATAAATATAAATTAAATATAAATATATATATTATAAATCTCACTTTTTTCTTCGTCAATATTCCAATCCTAAAATCTCAGAAAATCTCTGAAAATCCTTCGAAACTCCTACATCCTTCAAAAAATTAATTTAATTTAAATCAAATACTTCGACGATTCTGAATATTAAGCCTTTAAAGGCTAACTAAAGCGACATTTCAATTCTTTTTTCCAATCATTTTGTATTATAGAATTTTGTTTATTAATAATATAATAACTATATTCTATATAAAAAGGAATTTCCTCTATATTTCTTTTGTTACTTTTCTTCACTTTTATTTCTTCTTTTATCTAGATTTAGATAATACTACGAAGAAACTAAAAGAATTAATATTTATATTAATATCAATTACAATAGACTACTTCTTATAAATATGAAATCTTCATTTCGTATTAGCATGAACGAATGGAAAATTTTCTAATTAAATATTCTTTCCTCCCCCCCCCCCATTTTTTATTGTCAAATTTCAACTTTCTCGCAAACTCTCTTTTAATCACGAATTACCTTTACAAACTTTTAACTCGATATTTAATATCAATCATCCCCCCAATCTCCCCATTCGAAAGCACATTTCACCTCCCTCTCTTTCCATGGTTCAAACTCGTCTAATCCTAAATAAAAACCGAGCCCACTCTCGCCACGATTAACGAAGATAAACCAAGATCGTCCCCTTGCACAGCGTCGAAAGTAGCAGCAGGATACGAGGGAACGAGCCATCGAATCACCATACCGATCGCATAGAGGGTAAACGGGGCGTGCTGGAGAATGCGAAAAGAGAGGGTTGAGAAGCCGACCGAGGGGGTTGGATCGCACACCCCCGTAACTGGTCGAGGTATAAAATCAGACGTCGGGTACCTGGGGATATTCAGTGTTGGACCGGATCCCGTGCTCGGCTCAGCATCACTTCATTCGATCTTGATCTCCGTGCGAACGAGCGCCATCACCGCGATGAGAAATCATCTATTCGTATTCCTCGTCGTCCTAATATTTTCCGTCTCTCTCAACCGTAAGTGCAACGTTCTTTCCGGTCCGTTGGAGTACTAGGGATATATTTTTTTTTATTTTTTTTCCCTGGTGGATCCTCCTGGTTTGGATCCTCGTTTTCGCGCCAACCGAAGGGGCTATTATGACATCTTGTTCCTTATTTATTTTTCTCTTGTGTTTCTTTTTTTTTTTTTTGGTTTTAGAGATGAAATTATTTTATTTAATTTGAACAGGGGAATTGTTCATTGTTCCGAAGTGGGATGATGTTTAATTTATTAAAGGGGGCAATCTGATGATTCTTTTTCTTTCTTTTTTTTAGTATTATAATTTTTAGTATTATATTTGCATACGGGTTTGATGTATTTATTACTCTTTGTTTTAGCCTCCATGGTGAAATTACTCTTCTTCTTCTTCTTGATGTTTCATTTTCTTTAGGAAATTTTTCTTAAACGATTTTTAGTTTATTATAGAAACGGGCCGATATTATATCTTATTGCTTCTTTTCTTCTTTGTTTTTTCGCCTTTCAGTAACTTTTGCAAACTTTTTGCTTATTCCTATTTTAATAATTAAGATAATATTCTTCTTCTTAAAAAAAACTCTTAATATATTTTCTTTATTGAGATTCCTTATCCTCCAATAATTTTTATTTTGTTAATTTTTTCCCTTCTTTGTACTTTTCTTCTTTTGTATTTAATCTCTTTTTAAACTTTTTAAAATTAAATTTGAATCGATATGTTATTAATCGGTTTTTTAATCGAATTAATTGATCTTTCTCATATTATTTTCTTTTACATTTCATGTTTTCTTCTTATTTAATCATTGGATGCTAATTCTTAAAATATTCTTTGCTTCTTTCTTTTTCTCTTCCAATTATCGAAAGCAGCTTATAAATTCGTAGAATTCGAGCAAGAAATAATAATTTTTTTTAAGAATTCATTCTGTCCTTTTAGTATCCCAATGTGAACAAGATTGGAAATTGGAACCTACAAGAGGCAAGATGTTTGCATGAATATCACTTTTTCTTGAATTTTGTTTTATATTCCTCGTTATTTTATGTAATTTCTCTTCTTTTTAATTACTATTCTACGTAATTTAATTAATATATATTATTGCATTTGAATCGAATAATTTATCGATAAGATCTGTTGACATTTAAATTTAACGACACGTTGAAAACAATTTTACTACTAATTGAATATTTATTTCTCGTCGTTATGTTTTTAAATTTAGTAATAGATAATTTTAAAAGAAAAAGATTGTCTTCTTTATAAAAATTTCCAAAAATTCGATTTCCTCAATTTTATTAACTTTACTTATATTTTACTATTGTTGTTAAAATTATCAGATGAAATTTTTTTATAATATCAATTTATTATCTTCTTGATTGAATGTAATTAAATTTTTTATTTGTAATAACGTTAATTTTACTTTAATGATACCTACTATTTTTAATATAAAACTGTGGGTGTAACGGGTAATTCATAGCCCCTAATTTCGCATTTCGTTTCATCGATAATCATGATACGCTAATAAAATATTTCATTTTATTATTTCATATTAAATTTCGAAATTTTTTAATTCCAAAAATTCGGCAACATTGAACATATTACAACATCTACTCCCTTTACGACCCTTTACTCTTCCGCCTTTTTCATTTCTAATTAAACCTAAATAGAGAAAAAAAAGAGGGGATAAAAAAAAGATCATGTTTCTCAAAAAAAGAACTACAAAAAAAAAAAAAAAAAAACGAAATTCTCTGACGTTTTTGTTAGAGAGGAAAACACGGTCGTGAAGAGAAAAAGTTACCGCGGAATGAAGTAGAAATATTCGAATATACTGTGGTTAATTGGATCTGCATTCATTAAGTTATAAACAGTAGAAGAAAAAAAAAAAAAAAGAAAAGAAAAGAAATGATCTTCTTTGAACACGCGAGTTTAATTATATTCATCAAAATTATATACTTTTATTTGCTGCAACATACGAATCACATTTGCAACAAAATATAGTTTTCCCTCAATTTTCATTTCCAAATCAAAATTATTTACAATACTGTTTTGTGAATGAATATAAGCACTTCACACTTCTTTATCCAAGATTCAAAGAAAGAAATATACCACATTTTCGAATATCAATAATAACAATAATATTTGTTCGAATATTTATGATATCTTTATGAATGTAACTTAATATAAATATTCGTATTTCGATAAAGAAACGGGATCCATTTTATATAATTTCATCACGTATACATTTTTTTAAATATCTCATTAATCAATTTAACATTTCCAACTTAATTTCAACTAAATTATGGAATAACCGCGGATCATAAGGTTTCAAGATGGTATTACGCGTAGTAACATTATACACATGGATACATAACCTATAATTTAAAATTTAACTCGATACACTATCGTTTGGATAATTCTACTTGCGGGGATGTTTCATTTCATGTCATCGTTAAAGTATCCTCTCTTTTCTTCCCCCTCTCTCTTTCTTCGCCTCGATTCGATCAAAAACATTGAAATTTGTTTAACTTGTCTTTCAGAGACAGAGAAGTTAAAGCCCAATATCAGACGGGCGTCCGGCTTGATAAACTATCCAAGGATCGGCCGTTCGAATCTGAATTTCAACCGGCGTGGCATGGAACCAGACACAGATTTTCAATTTTACAGCACCGAGCTGGACCCGGACAAAGATTACGAAGGTGAAGTATCGCCAATAACATCGAAACGGGCGCCCCTCCCATCCTACACCGCAATCCCATTTCACGTGTACTTTGTCTTGTTTAGTGACAGATGGCCAATACCACGCCGCCATTTTGCGTACAGAGCGTTCCACTTAAACGAGAGATTTTCTTCGCGACTTTGATATCCCGTGCTCGGTTTAATAATCGGTTTAAACGAATCGATCTTGCTTGTTGTTATACTTCGAGGAATCGTTGATCGAGAAGATTGAAAAGATTATTGCGTGGATACTCACGCGTGGCATGATAATTTCTTTAATTACAAATGAACAGGTTAATTTTTAGGTTATGCAAGAGAGAATTGGATGGTGAAGAGATAGAAATGATAGATGATTGGTCATACGATAATAGGGAATATTAGGATAATGTTAGGATAATAAATTATGATATTTTCCAAGTAAAATTAATTTTAATTTTTCGTTCAATTCGATTAATTTTTCAAATAAAATTTCTTATAAAGACAGTGTAGTACATTATGCACGAAAATTTATATTTCTGACGCAGTTGACGATATATTGATAGAATTATTTGAAAAAATGTTTGATGGAATAAAAGGTAAAGTGAAAAATCCAAGTGAGGAAATAATCTGAATCATTCGTTGTTCAAATAATTAATTAATGCCAATTATGGGAATCGGAGAATTTACAACTAAGTCACACGGTATTTATTATTAAAAGAAAAATTGGTAGGAGAAGAAAGAATATCTTATCGATCGAAATTGCTATATCTATTGTAAAAATAGGAGGAATGAAGTCGTAGCTGATCCCAAAGAGATGGCAGAGAGATACGTAAATTTTTGATCGAAATTTATTCACAAATTTATAAAGCAGATAACATTGCAGTGTGGAACGTTGCAAATAGGACACGAATCCCATCCGATAGATGGAACTAGGATTGTGACGAGTATTCAAAGTATCATAGCCAATAATAACGTAACTTGTCCTACTATCCTATTCTCCCATTGTATCCATAATTCGTCAAGGATTCGAAATCAAAGATCGAGCGAAATGGAGAAAGTGAACTTCGATATGAAACTTTGATATCCAATTTCTACGCGATACAATGCGTTTCACGATAGTTCCCTCAATTTCACGATCTCGTTA